AACCAACTGAGCCACCCAGGCGCCCGATATCTGGGCTTCTGATAATGAGGCTATGACAGATAAAGCTCCTGTGAGCTTTCATGTACACGGTTTTGGGTAGACTTTTAGTTTTTGTTTCTTTAGGATAACTGCTCCAGGAGTGCAGTTGCAGAGATACACGGTTAAGTATAGGTTTCTGGTTTTGTGTTTTTTTTTTTAAGAAACTGACAAAATTTTTTCCAGAGTGGCATTTTGTTTTTCGAACATATATTAAAAAAAAAACCAAACACAAAACTGGGGTGCCTGGCTGGCTCTGTCGGTAGGGTATACAGCTCTTGATCTCAGCATCGTGAGTCCGAGCCCCACGTTGGGCATGGAGCCTACTTAAACATCCATCCATCCGTACATACATACACACATTTAAAAAACAAAAACCAAGGGTGTTATTGTTGAATCAGACCGTGTCCTTAAAACCAGGGCACCGGTGGAACTTCTCGAGTCTGACCTCGAGTTTTCCCGGGTGAGTGATGTCAGCGTTAAATCCCAAATCTCTCTCCTCCCAGGTGTGGTCCAGATAGTGGAGGTGATACTGAATGGGATGGTTCTCATGTGTGTCGTGGCCTCCTACTTTGTCCTTGCTGGGTTCACTGCGAGCTTTACCAGTGGCGGAGGCTTTGGGAACAACTACTACTCACCATTCGAGGGCACCGAGCTGGAGCAGGTTCGGCAGCTGGACCAGAAGTACACAGTGCTCCGGGCACCCCTGATCTACGGGGGTGTGGCTGTTTCTCTGGGCCTGGGTGTCCTCACTATGAGCGTTTTACTCCAAGGAGCCAAAAGCCTCACGGAACTGTCAGGGAAGTGGCTCCTCTTGGAGGCCGCCTTCAGCCTCCTGGCGGCGGTGAGCTACGGCGTGGGCATCGGCCTGTACCTCCACGTGGCCTTGCAGATCAATGCCACAGACACCTGCAGAGCACGAGCGAGGCTCTACGCCCGCAAGGGCCTCACCTGGATGAACTGCCAGCTGGCAGGCACGGACGGGGCGGCGGCCACCTTTGCCTGTCTCCTGGTGGTGATGTACAGCAGCAGTGTGGTGCTGGCCCTGCGGAGCTACCGGCGACAGAAGCACTGCAAAGAGAGCCAAGCACAGCACAGTGGCTGCAGTGACGCGCCCGAATACCTGTGGTCGGGAACTCTCTGAGACCGTCTTCTGGAACCTACAGGGCAACGCACCTCCCTTGTCTCTCTCCGAAAGAGGTGTCTTTTCAGATGACACATTAGACAACCGTGGTTTTCACACACTCGAGGTTACAGACGGTCCCGTCGGTACCAACAGAACTAAGGAGCCAGAGAAATTCGGGAAGAGAGGGGAGACTGACAGGTCAGGGGGTAGCAGGCCCAGCGCTACAGCCGAAGTAATCTTGCCTGGCGTAACTAAAGTCACGACAAGAAATATGCCCCTGCTCCCCGTGTTGGGTCCCAGGGGAATGATTTTAAAGCAGTTGTATGATTGAATTCCAAATGAGTGACTACATTCTGACCCTCCGAGAACGAAGCCGCCATGACTGCCTGGGGCCCAGGGAGCCTTCCTCCCTTCAAGATGGAAGGCAGGATTCCTGAATAAAGAGAGATGCCGGTAGCATGTGTGGTCTGCCTCAGGATCCCTGCAGTCGGGCTGAGAGAGAGGGTTTTTGCCAGCATTCCAAGTTCCTTTTTTTCTTGCAGGTCATTCATTTGGATTTCACGTTCCTAAAATATGTTATAATTTTCTTAAATATGAGGCTTTCCAGAGAGTGAGAAGTAAAATTCATGAACTTCTTAAATGTGTTATTCAACTGATTTCAAAAATAGAACAGTTAATTTTACTAGACTAGAAGGGCTTATTGGAGGCTTCCCCTTTTCTGCCTTCCCTGACAGTGCCCTCCAGAGTAGGCCTTCAAAGGCAGCTTGTGGGGCGCCTGGGTGGCTCAGTTGGTTAAGCGACTGCCTTCGGCTCAGGTCATGATCCCAGGGTCCCGGGATCGAGTCCCGCATCGGGCTCCCTGCTCAGCGGGGAGTCTGCTTCTCCCTCTGACCCTCCCCCCTCTCATGCTCTCTCTATCTCATTCTCTCTCTCAAATAAATAAATAAAATCTTTAAAAAAAAAAAGGCAGCTTGTGATCTCTCACGACCCTGGATTGTTTTCATAATGTAATAGATCATTAACACTGAATATTAAAAATAAAGTTCTTTCAATTATTTTAATCTCAAGTTTTATAGCTGTTCTTATACTTTATGACTGGTCTCAGATTTTCAGTTCATGTTGGGGGCACCTCGAAATACACAAGCCCTGATCATAAAGTTTTTCCCTGATTGCCCTCTTGCTTTTCAACAGCTAGTCCTTTTTTCCCCATAATATCAGTTTGACTTTCATATTATAAATGAGGTTAAGCTATTAATAAATTAAATTTTTAGTACATTTCTAAAAACAATCTTTTTCCACAATGCAATTCTGACATCACTTTCAGATTCTCTAATTTCTAGTTAGTAAGAAACCAGCAAATGTAAGCCTCTTTCAACATAGACCAAAATGGCTGTTAAAAGAAAATTAAGTCAGTGTCATTGTCCCCCTCTGCACCCTCCAACTGCTCTCCCCCCTGGAACATACTACTTTTCCTCTCCTCTCAGATCCTTTCAACAGCTTTCTTACGGAACCTCTCCAAGCCGAAAGGTCAAAACAACCTCATACAGAAATGGGAAAATATCTAATTGTACTTCTCTAAGAAGTAAAGCTTGGAGGGAAATAATAATCAACTGAGAATCTACATTATTGGGGTTAACGTGCAAACACACCTGTGCCACTGAGAGTCGCTTCCTCTCTCACCTTCAGCCTTGAGGCAGTGGCCAGAGTCCCCCAGTTTTCACCGAGTGGTAGACAGGATGTTTAACAACAGCGGAAATCAACCCATTCATTCCTCACACACTCCCCCAGAAAAGACTATCCTCCCTTTCCCAGCTCTTCTCAACTAGCATTCTTCCCGGAGACATGTCCCTACATCTGGGTCTTTCGCTCGATAAAACGGGGACTCTGGCCCATCTAGACCCCAGCGCCGTGCCTGGGGTGGCGACACTCCTGCTCTGGAAGCTCCCCTCCTCCCGAGGGATCGGAGGCCATCCGTCACTGTAATCATAACCTTCCACCTGTGGAGTTTCGTCACGTCCAAAGGCCTGAGCAAACCTGGTCTTATTTACTACCACTTGTCTGATAGGCAGGTCAGGATTTATTGTTCACCCGGTACAGATGTTAAGTGGCTTACCTAACAGCTGACATTCTGTTGACGGCTCACCATTTGCCGGGCCCAGTACTGGGCTAAAGCAGCATTTGCATCGTCTCACTCAAGCTCACAACTGTTGGGAGAGATGGTACTATTCCCATGTAGCAGTTGAGGAAAACGGAGTCTTAGGTTACTTAACGTGCCTAAAGTCAATTTTTTTTTAAGAGAGGGAGAGGGAGATAAAGAATCTTAAGTAGATTCCATGCCCAGCGTGGAGCCTGTTGTGGGGCTTGATCTCATGACTGAGATCATGACCTGACCCAAAATCAAGAGTTGGACACTTAACCGACTGAGCCACCCACCACGCAGGTGGCCCCAGTCAAATCTTTTACGTAGTAGAGACAAAACTTACCCAACATGTTCAAACATGTTCTGAGACACTAACGCATTCTTTTGGCTTTTGTTGTACCAGGGACTATCACACGAGGCAGAGGACACATTCAGAGGACTTGACTTCTGCCGCCCTGGAGCGGGGAGGGAGTGTCTCAGAGAACTGAGGCACTAAAGCACATAGATGGTGGCTCTGAGCCCAGCACATGCAGGTGCTAATGAACAGCTGATGTACCAAAGTTTTAAAATGTTCATTCTGTTAGATAAGGAGGAAACCTGCAAAATGATTTCAATTGGCTTTTATTTAGAGAAACCTGATCTTGCTTGGGAGTCCAGAGATTATGGGAGACAACTGGTGGGGGACGGAGGGGGGTGAAGATTTAATTTAGAGGCTTAACTGGATTTTAAGTATTTTGTGAGTCAGAGTGCACTCCTACATCTGAGGTTCTGACACCAAACCCTTATATTAGGACAAACACGACGACTAGATTATCCAATTGGCTCTTCTATGTCATCATCAGCTCTATGGTTTAGGATCCATCAATTACTTACAACTGAGTTTCCTCTAGTCAGCCAGCAACCTGCATGCAAATAAGGACTGTTTCCTGTCTTTGGATTTATTTAAACATATAAGTCAAGTCAGAATATGTTTCTTAACATAAAAAATCTTTATTGCTATTTCAGCTTAAGAGGTGAAAATATTTATTCTTGCCTTAACTCATAGCTTCATAATGTCATGGAATGTGGTTTCATTTGTTATCTTCCTCTAAAGCAAACAAAAAAAAAAAAAGGGAGGGGGCAAGAAAAATCCTAAAGGTACTTTTGGTTAAGAAAACTAATTCTATATACAAGTTAGAGAAATTACAGTTTCATGCCAAAATATTTATAAAATAACAGGTATTCCATTTTAAAACAAAGCCATGAAAAAGATACTCCATTTTATTTTATTTATTATTATTGTTATTGTTATTTTTTACAAACAATAGATTTGCTGCAACATGCTCTGGCTCATATTATTGAATTAAAAAATTTAACACATTTCAAAAATATCAAAAATACACTATAATGAGTCTTAGGACTACAATACAATGATTGCACAAAACCATAAGATATGAACTCACTGTCTGGATGACATCCACTGGCAACAGTGAGAGAAAACCCTATAGCATCTGGGAGAAGTGCGTGAAATTTAGAATACAAGGATCACCAAATGAAAGAAACAGCAGGATTTACTGTAGCTGCTTTCCTCAATCTAGGAAGTGCTTACCCAACTATGGGGTAAGAGTCACTAACTGGAGAGAAAGATGAACTTGCCTCCAAGACTGGGGGAGTCTGAAAAGGCCCCACCCAGAGGGAAGTAAAAAGTGACACGACGCAGTTCTCTCGTGATGCTGCAGGCATCACTGAATGGCTTGGAGACTAATTATTTAATAAATGGTACATTTATCCATAACAGCCAGATGCTCCCTTATGGAGGTGTCTTCATTAATAATTATTGAGTAGATAGAGAAGGTGAGCCTGTGGCTTCCAAGTACCTGCTTTTGCTGAAGGTCTACATGGGAAGAAGAGCAACGTTTGATATTCAGTAGCTAAACCCAACCCGGCTGGCTCCACCTCCCGGACCATAGCACGGGCTACAGACAACTCTAATAGCACCCAGTGATTACCAAGCTGCTTGTGCTGGCTCTTCCATACACCAGGAAAATGAATTCGCCAGCTTATTGCACACATACACTCTACAGTAGTATAATAGTGACGCCCTCAGTTGTATGAGGAGTGCCAATTCAATGACTCTCCGGTAGACTCGTAATGACACAGCGCCATTCAAACTTTCGAACGTATTTCCAATCCATTTGGATAAAAATAAGAATACCATGGCTGCCAAGACTCGTGTATTTTTCTTTCTTCCATGGGACTCCTGAACTGCTCCCAGAAGCAGGAGTGATATTCTTTCACAAATTCTCTTACAGTTCTCTATTAAATGGGAGGTACACGCAGAGACCTGAGAATCACGCAGAGGCCAGAATCTCTGGGCTAGAGATCAACGGTACTCTACCCACCAGGGGAACACATCCTCTGGGTAAAGTCCTGGGAAGTAGATTACATTCACCTGGAGAGAGAGTCCTGGATTTCACCACCTGACAACCTAATCAGATCACACGACTGTAAATGACCTCATAGGTCAAGAGTTCTGTATGCTATTTTTGGTAATGGACTATGGCCTTTTTTACCCTCTATTTTAATACAGAGCAATTATAGAGGGAAATGAATGAAAAGAAGTTACAGAAAATAGTTTGGTACTAACTATATGAAAGCCTATATGAAAGGTTTCCAATGCAACCTAGTGTTTCCTGAAAATAAATCTACCATGTAAAAGAACATCTGGAATTTTAGAGTTCTTCTGACGAAAAAGCAAATACTTTTGGTACAGTCATTTCAGAACCGGGTTTCATGGTGGTTCCAATAAGTAGAGTGGGAAACAAAGACAAGAAAAGGGTTCACAGAGATAAAGGACTATTTTTAAGAAACTATACTATGAAAGTGGTATATTCCCAAAGTAACTTTCTTCTGCAGACAGCATCAGTGTTGTGTGACTCAAAGGTTCTGCTGTCCGGAAGCAAGACGTTTCACATCACCCATCACTAATATTTTGGGCTTTTTCTTCATTTTCATTTCTCCTTCATCCCCCCCTCCCATTTCCCCATATAAAAATAGGGCAGCAACACACAATTTGTTCCCTTTTCCAATGGCATCTAAACTTTGTATCAACTGTTATATTCCCCGCTTCAAATCAAGACCTGAGTTCTAAAACTTTTTAGTAGCTGACCAATAGTTTGATACAGAGAAGTCAAGTTTTCCTGACAATATGGAGACTCAAACTCAGATTCTTGAGGGGTTGAACTTCAGATGGCCACTGGACTGGTATGGAATCCCCCAAGAGTGAACCTCACTCACACACACACACACAGATGTGGGGCTGCTGAGAAGATGAGGACACATAACCATCTGAAGACAGGTCATCTGGTTTTCTACTACTGCTTTAACAAAAACTTCAAAAACCCCCTCAAAGATATAAATAGATGGACAGACAGATCTATATATATCTCAACCCTATCTTTAACATTTTGTTTCTCATTCAGCAAATTCATGGTTCCACACTATTTGCTTTTTAATTGTGAAAGTATTCTAAAAATTCAAAGCACATTCCCCATTGGGTAAAATCAAGCAATGTCAAAATTTTATAGGAGTTAAGTAGGAATTCGTTTCCTAAGTAAATCTTGTAATGGAAAAGGCAACAGAACAGAAACACGGAAGGAACTGTATTTTGCTAGGGTTATGTGGAATGTGCAAAAATACAGTAAACCAGGTTTTCTGTATGCTTAGGATCTTCTCAATTAAGTCTTTCTTCCATTAGTAATTGAGCCCAGTACTCTGAAACCATGTGAGGTGGATAAGCAGTTTTCAGAAGAGTACTCTGTTGAACATTAAAGATGTGAACTCAACTCATTTCCGACACTTTAGAAAACCATCCCTCTGCTCTAGAGTAAGAAAAGGAACAGGTCTAACCCATGAGCTCCGTTCATCCATCTGCTCTCATTCAGCCTCAGTCCGTGCAGAGTCACCTGCTACACTCAAGGTTACTTGGATGCGAGCAGCATCAGCCTTGGCCCTATACATGAGGAGGCTGGCTGCCAACTCCATCATATGTCATGGGAAGAGGCCAGTCCGCAAACACTTCTCTTGTGATCTGCGGGGCAATTCCTTGCAGGCGTCACATTGGTCAAGGAGTTATTGTCTTTCTGATTGGGGGGGGGAAGCAGTTTTAGTCCTCTCTCCTTCCCCATCTTCATCCCCAAAGATCCTACTCCCCCAGGTTTCTCAGGAGCTTTCCCAGTCTGCCCTCCAACAGTTCAAAGATTTCCCAGGGCCCTCCCTAGTACCCTCACAGAATGCTCCAACACCTGATGATCATTCTGTCTACAGACAAAAGTGCTGGGCTGCCTCTAAGAAGATTGGCTCGAGTGCAGATTCAAAAATAAAAAGTTCACAGTCAATGAAAAGTGCTCTCATTACATTACATACATAAATTATCTGATTGGTTCTACATTTCCAATAAACATCATTTCGAAAGGCTGTATTCTCGTAGAGAAGAATGAAAAGCCATGTGACTAGTCACATCACATCCCATCAGTTAGGCTGAGATATAAGGTGATTTCTCTGTCACAGAGATCCATCAGCAGCAATAAGTAAAGAGAATCAATCTTCAGTTACTTCCTCCACAGAAAGAGTCCCTTTCCTGCCCAGGCAGGCAAATTCTCAAATTATCCTAGGAGAGAAAGGGTTAATGGCAGGTGGTAGGACTGATACAGAACAACATCTGCTTTCTTCCCAGTAACTCTGGGAATTCCAATGCAGGTTAAATGTGACACTTAACACTGATGGTGTTTACTAGCTTATCCGGAGCAAGACCCTGATAGCTCTCACCATGTCTGGCTCTGAGTTCTACCCCCCTCAGCTATGGTTTAGAAATGCAGAGGCACAATGCCTCCGGAAGGACCCCTACCCCCACAGCGCACAGCCTTCCCTAGTGCTCCGGTTCCTGGGGGAGGGTTACAGAGCCGTGTCAAACTCCTCCGGGAGCTCGGTCCGACCCTCTTCGTTGGGCTCAGGCTCGGGCCTGCTTTCCTGCTGTTGCTTCATTTGCTCTTTCACTTCTTCTTCCAGGTCACGAGGTACAACAAATTGATCCTCTGGCTCCAGCTGAGTGGGGGCAGCGAAGTAGCCAGTTTTCCTCTTGGGTGCTTCTGTGGCCACTTCGATGAGGTTCAGGCTATCTTGCAGGGGCACGATAGAGCCGTTCGAGAGTTTCTTTCCATACAGACAGGAAGTGGAGGGGGACTTCTGTAACTCCATCCTGTCCTTGCTCATTGGCAGAAGTATGCCACTATTCACACTGTTCTGTCTTCGGATCCCAAAAAACGATCCTCTAGCATGTTCCTCAGGACACGGGGTAGGAGAATTCTCTATAAGAGTGGGAGAGTTCTCGAGATCCCTTCCCCTACAGCAGTGGATATCCACTTCTACTTCTACTTTGCTGCCATTTGTTATGACACCTTCAACAGGCTGGTCGTCATCACTGTCGAGGCCATTGTCAGACTGGTTACTTGAGAAGGTCGCACAAGAAGGCTGGCGCTGAAACACCCCAGAGGTGGGTGTTGGATGGAGGCTGCAGCGCCTCTCTGGCCTTGGAAGCAAGCCAGCATCCAGCCCGACAGTGTTGTGTTCATCAGAAGCAGTGGACCCCACCTCACTGCTCACCTCTGAGGTGGACATCTCACTGCTGAACTCAGAGGCAATGCCACTACTGGAGGAAGGAGTGGTTGGCTTGGGGGGGTCCTTGATGACGGTGGTGGAAGCAAATCCCACAGGACCCGGGAGGGTGAGCCCATTCATTTCACACGTGCACCCTTCCTCACCGATGTTCAAATAAACCACCATCACCCCAACATTGTCCTGACAACCATAGCTCTGGGCTAATGTGCACAGCTTCTTGGCAGCTGCTAATGGGTCTTGCACATGGCGTACTGCATTGACAGCTTCTGTATATGACAAGTGTTCCCACAATGCTTTGTTTCCCAGAATCAGCAACTCATCTTGAATAGTAAGTGGAGTGGCAGATATGTGGGGCTTAGGGAGGATCCAAGGATAGAGGTATGTACTGCCCAGCATCCGGGTACAGCAGGTTACCCCATTTACTTTGTTGTCCTAGGAGACAAGCAGAATGCAAATTCTGAGAAACAAGCAACAATGACATACAATTTTTATCTTAGATCACAATGCCTAGGGCTCTACAGTAAAAGAGAACAGACGTATGGTTTTTCCTCAGATCTCTATAATTTAAGGGGACTTACAAAAATGAAATGTACAGAATTCTTAAAGGACAAAATATCATGTGGTTATTATACCAAATAGTTCATAGGACTGAGGTTAAAACCAATTAAAATTAAGTGGCTAAAAGTTTATAGCACCTGCACCTCAAAAGATATTTGCTCACATGAAGTACAGGCCTCAGCACGTCCTTAAATAGAGAAACATCTGTTAGAAAAACAGTAAGCAGAACTGTCATTAGTTCTCCATCACCAGTATTCTCACAAAGGCCAAAACTCAGGTGGGTTACTAAAAATGATTTCTCATTACAGGCACGGTAGGGACAGAAAAGATTCAGTTAGATACTAAAGGACTAAGAGAATCTTTGTAGCTAAAGCATTAAATGATCTCTAAAGCTATTTAGTCTAGAAAAGTAAAGTCTGAAATCCATAGCATAATTTACCTGATCTGTAAGGACTGTACCAGGAAGGAATAGCAGATCAAGTCACCACTAATATAATTCTAAACTTAGAGGAAAAGGAGTAACTTGCTGTCATCTGCCAAATACTTGTGTACTGATTTCTTTTCAAGGTAAAATCAAACAAAACCCCTAAAGCCATCAATGTATTTGTTTCAGAGTTGTGGTCATTCTCTGGGTGAAAATCTTGGCTCTCTCATTTACCAGAATTTGTCACAAACTCTTAAGTTTTATTTTCCTCATCTGTAAAATGGAAATAAAAGCACTTCTTTCATGGGGATTATTGTGAAAATTAAATAAAATAATAGGAGTCAAGTGCTTAGCAAACAATACATGCCTGAGGTTAAACTGACATTTTAAGAGTAATTCTTGCTTGCCTACGGCATCCCAAGAAAAACCAACACAACATTATCTAAATTCTGGAAAGAGATTAATCAAACACAAAGTTATCTTTTATCTTTCATTTGTTTTGACTGAAAGACCTTCCTGAGACTAATACCTCAGTATTCCAGAATCTTCTTAATACCAACCCACATTGTAATGGTACTTTTTTTTGGTTTTGTGTTCCTTGGGTGGAATTCTGACAGAACAGACAGCCCAGAAACGGACCCACACAAATACGGTCCCACTGACGGCTGCCAAAGGAGCAAGGGCAGTTCCATGGAGAAAGGACTCGTCTGGTCAGTGAATACTGCTGCAACAGCGGGACGTCCACATGCAAAAAGGAAAAAGGACTCTAGACACTGAGCTTACATCTGTCACAGACTAATTAAAAACAGATCACAGACCTAAATTAAAACATGAAACTTCTAGAAGCTAACACAGAGAAGAAAATCTAGGTGACCCTGAGCTTGGCAATGAGTTTGTAAACACCAGAAGCATGAACCCATGAAAGAAAAAAAATGGTACGTGGGACTTTATTCAAACTAAAAACTTCTCGGGGTGCCTGGGTGGCTCAGTCAGTAGAGCATGTGATTCTTGATCTCACGATCATGAGTTCAAGCTCCACCCTGGGTGTGGGCGTACTTAAGAAAAAAATGTTTAAAAATTTAAAAAAATTCATACTAAAATGTATGCTTTGCAAACACCACTGTTAAAGGAGTGAAAAGACAGACACGGACTGGGAGAAAGTATGTGCAAAACACATGTCTGATAAGGACCTGTATCCAAAATACACAAAGAACTCTTAAAACTCAACAACAAAGAAACAATTAAAAATGGGCAAAGCATCTGAGCAGAATTCCGCTTTGCAGTAAACAATGTTCACATGCAATTGCTAAAGTCTCTTTGAAAGCAAAAATGTGATGCTAATTACTAAAAAAGGAGACAAGCTGTAAAACAGCAGAGATACTGATGCTTTGTTACTAAAAAACAAAACAAAACCACCAGAGCATACTAAGCCATACATAATATAAACAGTAAAAATATTTTAAAACTTTGCATTTCAGAACAGCGATGTCAAACTGTAGAATCTTTTCTTCTTCTGTTTGGAATAACAAACCAGAGGAGTTGGAAATTAATCAAGGGAGACATTTACATTCATTTTACATGCTAGCTATACATCTGAAGGATCACAAATTAGGATTTTTCATTTCTAATTTGTCTTTTCTTTTTGTTAGTCATTGACTATTCATTAGATTTTCTTCTAGTACTATTATCTGGATTGGATACAATTTACCAGGCTTGACAGGAAGAAAATGGACCCTCAGTGCCTGAATGCAGGGCAGCATTCACTAGATTTGGGAAGCAGGAGTAACTGGTAGAGAGCGAGATTCACCTCTGTTATGATGGCCTTCTGGGCCTTCACCCTTTGAGCCTCCTCCGGGTCCTGCTCCAGGCTGAAGACTTTCGAGAGGGGCACTGGTTTCCCACTGCGGCACAGGACCGCTTGGCACGTGCCGACGTTGGCTACAGTCAGGCTAAAACTACTTGCTGGGTCGGCAGTGTCAGGGCGGATGTAACAAAGGAGAGCAGAGGAGCCCAGCTTCTGGCCAGCCATTCCCAATTTCCTGTTTAGAAAAAAAAGAAAACAAAGTTTTCAAAGTAAGTGGCAGTCCTTCATGTCCATGCCTTCCTTGTTTCTCTGCCAGTGACTGTGAGCCAGCCGCCCCGTGTTCACCTGAAGGCAGGCTCTTACTACAGGACGTGCCTTCCACGCTCAGCTGACTGAGAAGAGATTTTACAAACAGGTTGAGGGTAGGGGGAGACAGTGAAGATACATCTTTCTCTACGGCTTCTGCTTGTGTCTGATCACAGACTGTTTTTCATTCAGTCATTTTCAACTTCAGCACATCAGAGTCACCTGGAGGGCTCATTAAACCAGATGGCTGGGCTCCCTCCCCAGAGTTTCTGAGGCAGTGGGTAAGGGGCTGGGCCCAGTAATCTGCACTTCTAACAAGTTCCCAGTGATGCTGAGGGTGCTGCTCCTAGAACACCACTTTGAGAACCACTCACTTAGGCTGTAAGTTCCTCGAAAGAAGGACCACACTCTTCTTTCTGTATCTCCCATACACATGGCACCCATCGTCTAGTGCATGGCACACAGTGCTAAGCACAGAGCAGATACTCTGAGAAAGATCTGGTTGCAAATTCCAGCTCTGCCAATTGCTCACTGCAGATCCATAGCAAGATATTTTTCTGATAAAATACCCACTTCTTTGGCTTGTTTGGAAAATTAAAGCTATGGTATGAGAAAGAGAGACTGGTCTTCTGCCTGGCTCATGGGGGTGCTTCATCAACAGAGTTCTCTTTCCCAAACTCTTTATTTCACCAAGTTCCTAGCTCAATTCTATTACTGAAAAATAGACTCCCTTCCCAACATCTTTGCTTTGTGTTATAATGAGAGATAATAACAGCTTGGGCTCCAGGCTATTCCATCTCACCTCGATGATACAAGATTACAACCTCTCAGTTGTGCATGGCCTGAACCCAGCCCACCTGATGTACTTCATGCTGTATTAGCTACTATGAGATTTTCAATACTTTGGTTATATAGAGTTTTTGCCCTTAAGTGGCTGAGAAAATTAATTGGTAAATCCCCAATAATAAGTATTCTAAACACACGAATCTGATCAGTGCTTAACCTTTTGTAGATCACTGACTCTTCGTGAAGAATCTTACAAAAGCTTACACCATCTTCCTTCCCCTGAATGTACAAATGCACTTACGCACACACAACCTTCTACACACGATTTCTGGGTTTTCCAGATCCTCAGCAACCTCTGGGGTCAACAGGGAAAACAGATGGCTCCACAGGCTCTTTATTTTTTTTTATTTTTTTTAAAGATTTTATTTATTTACTTGACAGAGAAATACACAGCGAGAGAGGGAACACAAGCAGGGGGAGTGGGAGAGGGAGAAGCAGGCTTCCCGCAGAGCAGGGAGCCCGATGCAGGGCTCAATCCAAGGACCCTGGGACCACGACCCGAGCCGAAAGCAGACGCTTAATGACTTAGCCACCCAGTCGCCCCTCCACAGGCTCTTTAAAGGACCAAAGTCCCCAGGCCCCTAAGTGGCTCAGTCAGTAAAGCATCTGCCTTCAGCTCAGGTTGTGATCTCAGGGTCCTGGGATCGAGCCCCGCATTGCATGGGACTCCGCACTCAGTGGGGAGTCTGCTTCTCCATCTCCCTCTGCCCCTCCCCCTGCTCATGCTTTCTCTTTCTCTCAAATAAAAATCTTAAAATAAATAAATAAAGGACCAAAGTCCCCACGTTCCTCTGTGCTGATACAGAGAGTAGTCATAGCAGAAGGATCAAGGTCTCACCTTGATCCTGTACCTATAAATTTAGACCCTGACCTTCTGGCTTAGTGAGATTTACTTTCCAAAAGTAGAACTGAGTTAGGGATTATTCAACCCACCTGCTTACCTGTGAGATACCAAGAAGGTGTTAGCCATGAAAACCGTGTCATTTGTCGACTGCTGTACTTCTTCCAGAAGCACATCTGCCATCGTGCACTGGAGTAGGCGAGGGAGCTCTTCGTTTCGGTCCCCGTCAAACATGCCATACACAGCGCCCACCCCTTCTGCAAAGTTATCCACAGCTAGGGCAGAGACACACAGCCTGTAACACAAACAGGATAAAACCAACATCAAAGCAAGTTATGTTAAAAGGATTATTCTCCAGGGAGCCTTCTTTGAAAAGTATTAATTAAGGTGGAAAAAACAGTAGTAAATTCTAATCTACACATGAAAACAGTATTAGGTAATTAGTAGCACCTGAAAGAGCTGATGTCATAAGAAACGGGGGAATCCAGCCACACTCAGGGGCTTTGCAGTGCTGCCAAAGGCTGGGAAGATTCAACATTTTCCCTTAGTAGTGATTAAGGACTAGTACGGTCAACATCCTTCAGCCAAAGACCCCCAGGAGCACAACTATGGCGGACTGAGTCGGGCTGATCATGCCTTGCAGCAAGGGAGAACGTGCACCATGGAATTCTGCGGTGAATAGGTAAGTGCGTGCTGGAAAGAACCCACTACAGGATTTGGGCTTTGGGTGGGTCATTTTGGGGAAGGTCTAATGAAGTGGACCAAGATGAGGTGCTGTCAGAAAGTGGGGCCATTCTATGGTTGGGTAGCTCAGTAAATCTTATCTACAGGGAAAGATGATGAGCATGAGGAGAAAGCAGCAGTCACCATTTTAGCCGTGAGAGGGGGTGTGCGGTATTTTGTGGACTGTGCATTCATCTTGTTTCTGTGTCACTGCACCATGGTCTCAGAGGGATCTGCTCTGATGCTGGCATTCTATGATGTGTTTAAGTCCCACAGGAATCAATATGGCCCAGCTTTCAGCATCAGATCAGACGTCAGGGGCTGCCTTTTTAATTTCTTTCCATGGCCAAGATACTCACTTATTTCTCTGCCCTGCCATCTCAGCCAGTCCATGGCTCCAGAAGCTTGATGTAACTGTAGGATCGGTGGTTGGCAAAGGTTTCTGATCAATTTTCAAGGTGGTGATATGGCTGTGGGAAGTGTAGGAAGGGAAAATGAGACCACACAGGCTTCTGTGTTTCACAAGAACTATCCCAAAAGAACATGTGTTTTTATAAAATCATCTGCTGACAGACCAAGATTCATCTCCAGAGAGAATGAAGGATAGTGTGCTGACCCATGGGCCAAGGAAGAGAAAGGAAAAGGGTAGGAGGAAGAAAGAGGGGCCAAATATTGTGGCAATTGGTACTGTTCATTTCAATGAAAAACCGAGCATATCCAAAGATTTCAAAGTCTTAGCCCACTATCTACTTAAATATTCTGATACAATGGAGGCTTGGTACAATGAGTGAGGTTGCATCATCTCTTAGATGATGTAATGCAATGTAATCGGTGCCACCTAAAATGTCTATGTGAAAATATTCAGTGTGTGGCTGAGCAGTGCCCATGATGCTGAGTTCTGATATAAATGGGCTGTCTACTGGATAGAATATCTATCCATAACTGAATTAAGTAAAAGAATGGAGGGGCTCTATGGCCTGATTCATTCTCTTCCTTTAATTAATCAAGATCCCTACACACCTCTACAGGAGATCCACACATGGCTGGTGGAACTAAGAGCACATGTGGATTCAATTTCAAAATTTTTCCTACCTAAATGTGTCCAGCGTCTTGTGTTCCAGAACCAGATTCGTATTTCCGGTCAGGTCAAGGTCTTGTAAAGTAGCAGGCAGAGCCTCTGGAATCAGGATTTCTGTCAAGTCATTGCAACTTAGGTCTACAAACTGAGAGGAAAATGGGGAAATCAAAAGAAAATACATCACAGACAGCGAATTCTTAACTCCCTAACACTCAGTCCCCTACTATATCCTCAAAGGAAAGAATTTCTTCCCAGGAATCGATTAAATCTGTTGTGATCCCGAACTGCCGAGAAGAGAACGACCCGCCATTTCCCCAGCAGGACACCATTCCGTCACAGAAAAGTACCTGGATCTGAGGCAGCTGCAGGATTTCGGGGAAAATGCTGATGTTGTTGGAGTGTGCCACAAGGGTGTGAAGCCTTTTGCAGTTGCCTATGGTCGTGGGAATGGTTTTAAGTTTGTTGCCACTTAGGTTCAGTTCCTCCAGTTGCTCCAATTTATTTAGTTTGCTGCAAAAGAAACAGCCACATAGCACGGGGCACCCCCAACGGGCAGCTGCCAAGCTGGGGTGACAGCAGCCACCCAGAGTGCAGTGGCGGCCTGGCCCGCTGCCAGAGGGCTGGTCGGAATCCAACAGCCAGACGCCAGCAAAGGGAACGGCTCCCCAAGGTGACTGCTCCCCGAGTCTTGGCCTAACCTGCCTCTCACTGGGTCTCGAGTGTGGAAGCTTCCCTTGCTTCTCCTACAGCTGTTGGGTCTTGTGGGTATGAACATCTTCCTGTGATCTGACTTACAGGAAGAGGCTGAATCAGCACTGGCCCACGGCTGGTAGATGACTATGGTACTTGCTTGGCCACCAACTAGCTGCACAATACTGCATAATTTAATGTCAGTGGGCATCAACATCCCCAGCTGTAAAATAAACAAGTTGTACTAAATCATCACTAAGATTCCTTTCAATGTTAAATTTCTATAGCTACCTATTCATAACATAATCCATCTTCAGTAAACATTTCAGGAGTGCTTGCTATGCATACAGCAATGTGCCAGGGACTATGATATAAGCAAGTCACACTGTTTTGTGGGACTAAGCAAAGCTTTCTACACAGCAAGCAAAATATCTTCAGACAGCCTAACATCTTTATCTAGATTATTACAAATTGCTCTGATTTATTTATAATTTATTAATTTAAAAATTATAAAAAATAATAAACTATAACGTGGAAAGAAAGTTTGGAAAATAAAATAAATAAAACACTAATACCACCAATCTGAAATTACTATTACTCTTTCGGCTAAATTAGATGCATATTCAGAATTTTCATATGCGTATTTGTTTTACATAAAATTTATATCCCACCCTTTCCATGTATCATAAATAATTTCTATTGCTAGAAAATTCATAAATACTTTTGAATAACTAAGCTCAGTAAATTAAAACTGTTTTCTTTCCTACTACAAAAGTAATACATACTCATTGGAAAAAAAACTGAAAAGTAGAGATAAACAGAAAAAAAATCTTTTAATCCTTCTACCACAGATAATCTCTCTTAACAGTCTGGTGGAGGGTATTCTTGTCCTTTTTAATGCAATAAACTATATTTTTCAAATTAAAAAATGTTATATATTGTTTAATAACTTGCCTTTTTTTAACTTAACAATACATTTCAAAAGTGTTCCCCTGTCCAAATCTCATGCTTTTCTCTTATACTACTCTCTGCTTAGACCTAATTTGTAACCAGAAATGCAGGATCCCTATCTCACCAGCCTCTTACTAAGCACCCAGAACTATGCTAGATTCTGAAAGTAGTCCAAAAGAAACAGAAGATTTGGACTGTGCCTGTGTAATTAAACATTGTTCAGGAGATGACAGTGGGTTTATGACTCAGTATAGAACAAACATTTTCTTTAATATACTGCTGCTAAATTCCATTTAGTTTTAATATCTGTATTCAGAGTAGTCTAATTTTCTGTAATCTCCTGTTACTTTTTATCTTTATTTCTAACCTATCTTCATAATCTTTAATGTATTTTAAATTTTGTATCAGTCTGCTTTTAATGCTTCCAATAAGAATGTCATCAGATTAAAAAAAATAATAATTAAAAAAAAATGTCATCAGTTTAGGAAGAATTCATCAACTTCAGAGCATTCCATCTGCTATTTCCCAAAAGCTTCATAAACCAGTATGACTTGTCAATGGCCTGTTGTTTCCACTTTACAGGAACATATCTGAGGCCAGTGGAATTAATCTGATAGGATTTCAAGAGATCTTTCACATGCTGAAATTAAGATTCTGCCTTCACTTTATTTTTTTTTTTTTAAGATTTTATTTATTTATTTGAGAGAGAGAGAAAGAGAAGCACGCTCCCCGCTAAGGAGGAACCCTGACGTGGGGCTCAATCCCAGGACCCTGAGATCATGACCTGAGCTGAAAGCAGACGCTCAAATGACTGAGCCACCCAGGTACCCCAAGATTCTGCCTTCACTTTAAAAGCCATTGTTCAAATTCTTTGAAAGAAGCAATCAACTTTATCCTGCTTGTCTTCTATAAGCTCCAAATACCTCATTTCATAAACATTCACAAAAATTATAATCTCTATGAATTTTTCTAAGTTTATCACATTTCTAAGAAAATCTGTTAAATAAAATTAGAATCAAAATAGTTTTGTTTTGGCGCCTGGGTGGCTCAGTCGTTAAGCGTCTGCCTTCGGCTCAGGTCATGATCCCAGGGTCCTGGAATCGAGTCCCACATCGGGCTCCCTGCTCG